ATTTTTAGCTCGAAATTTCATCCAGTTAAAGGCGAAATCTTAGGGAAATTTAACCCCCATATTATTTTGCATGCTCGCGACATGTCTATTTTTGTATCCGCACTACTAACAGTTTATGAAAACGTCAATACCATACAATTTGGAGTAATTTGGCTCAACGTCTTGTGAATATCCAAGTAATATGCGCAAAAATAAAGGTTGCACTGGACGTCGTTTCGACTAGTTGATCCCTTGTGACGTGAGATAATAAGCTCCATTTAAGACGAACTGTTCTGTTGCTGCAATACATCAGCTACAGCAAAAACTTCACCAGAAGAAAATTGCGTGTCATGTCGCACACTGTAAGGCTGACCGGCATTCTTCAGACCTCGAGCTCAAGCCCTAAGCACCCGGGGTTCTCACAATGAACTGGCATCCATCCGCAACACCCTCCAAATACCTGGACATCTTGTGCGGCACACGGCTCACGCGGAAAAATAAAACCACGCTTTGAAGAAACCTCCCAAGAAAACGTCCAGCTCCATTCACTCGCAAACCCATTCTGGCTACCCTCACAAAGCTTGACTTCAGCTTCACAAACCAATGGCAAGTCCCCATATTGGTAAACAGCTACCTCACAGGACTCTGTCGCCAAAACTAACTGAAAGTCATTTCAATTTTTTAAAAATAATTATCGTAAATTAATACAATATAATAATATTTTCATTCAATAATGTAATAATCATTTCAGCCTAAATTTATAACCATTCATAATTTTCAGTCGTAGAATAAACTTAAGAAAACTCCTTCGAAATTTCTCAACATAAATCCGTTAGCTGGTTCGCGGTTGTGCATTTGTCGGTCAAAGGACTCGTGTTACCTTTCATTTATCGATCTGATTCCCTTTGGTTCGTTTATCTATTCAATTTACTTTCAGGTCAACGGCCGCTATCTCGACCTTGGATTCTGCCGCTGCTCGGCGATCTTTCGAGTAAATACGGCCAGTGCATTGGACCCTCGTCTGGCGGAAAAGTAAAGCAGTAGCGGCAGTCGCCGTTGCTCCCCGTGAAGGTCGCATAGTTATTCCGCTTTTCGGCGGAGTAAATAAGTGAACAAAAATAGAGGGGGCGGGGCGCAGAGGGGCGCGGAAGGAGCGGGGGCTGGCGCACGACGCGCGTCTGCCCTTTGGGCGGCGGCCGGACTGCGACGGCGGGCCCCCTGCCAGCGCCAGAGCCCGCGTCCGCGCCAGCGCCATCACTGAACGCACGCGCAGCGCCCTGCACTCAGTGTCGTAGAGCGACCCCTGACCAGGCGGTCACTTCGCTAGCTCCCCACCTCCCAACACCGGATTCAAATCCCGCTCTATTACGCGGAAGACGTGATGAGCACGTTGGTTCGCAGCAGGTTTGCAACAGGTTTCCCTCATTTCCCTTCATTCACACTCCCCTATTGCTCCATCATCAGTCACGTGGATTATCGTCCTATACATTTGCCATCATTCACAAACTAGAATCCGGTGGCGAGAAGATGGCAATAATGCACACTACTAGCCAGCAAAACGCGGGTGCGAACACAACTTAAGACTTCCCGGCGCCACACACGGTGCGCGACGCATTCACACGCCCGCACACGCTCCCCCCGCAACGTCTCCTCTCTCTCCTGTTGGCGACCACCGCCCTACGCTATGCATGGTTCACGCACCCGGCGATCCCCGGGAAGGGTTGGGGCAAAGGCTGGCAGCAGCCATACCAACGCCTCCATCAGCAATGACTGCGTGGGAGAGTTCTATTGCAGCTTCGTTGGAGATCTTAATTTTATTGAGAATTGCTGTCACAAGAAAGAGAAAAAGCAATGTAACTTTTCACTCTTCAACGACTCTATTGGTGTACAAATCTACTCTTCTGTGCAGTTGAATTTATGGCGTTCCATTTCTTGAACATTTTTATTTGAATTATTTTTCTAGTTTCGCCGTTCTGTTTCCAAAAGAATGAGACTTCGCGGCGGTATTGTTCTACTCATGTTTTACGTGGTGGCGACTACAGAGACCATGAATTGGCACACTATTAGAACGAAAAGCGAATTCTGCGCGTTTATTTCAGAAATAAATCTATTTTTTTCAATACGTTAAGTGAAAAATAGACGTTATGGCGAAAGCATGTTCGAATATTTAACACTTTCAAAACAATTTCGTGACCAAAGGAATCTGAAAATAGTACCTTCTGGCACGTAACACAATTTCGTGTCTCCTTGGAAATATATTTTGACAATTCCGAGTCAAATACCAAATTTAAAACCAAAGTTATCTTAAAACTAGTACAACTAATAAAATATTTAACGACGAGCCAGACACAGCAGAGAGAATGCCATTTTCTAATAAATACGAGACGAATTCAATAAATTATGTTTTTAATGGTCTGAGAGACGAAATTTAACATATTACTTGAAAGTCCGGCATAATTAAAAGGGATAAGAAAGCGGACTGAACAAGTTTACAATGCTGAAAATAAAGGGTACAATTCCAAAATGTTTAATTGTGGAATTATTGGCATTTTTATACTTTATGTATCGCACGTAGTTACAACAATATTTCTTCAGACAAACATTCAAGGAAAGAGGAACACGTGCCAATAGCGAAGGCCTCATCTTCCTAAACTTAACTCATTCCTTCAAGTTCATTTAAATAAAGCATCTTTCCTAGTAAAACAAGCTACAAGCTACTTTTGGGGTGATCCTTCGATATTACAATGAACCCAAGAAGCTGGGGACTCGTGCACAGTCTCACCGCGTGCCAAGGCAACGTGCCCTGAGCTGCAGCAGCGCCCGCAAGTGGAGGCTGCCGACGCATTCTGTTGGTGCGTTCCGTAACTACGCGAATTCCCAACTGCTCCAATCGCCCACCGTGCTGCTCTCTACAGTGCCAAAGCTCAACTTAATAACGAAATTCTGGATTTTAATCTTAGGCATATTTTGTACCTATCCACATATACAGTGAAAGATAAGTTTTAATTTTAATAAGCTATTTAACGTAAACGGCATAATTCCATTCAAAGCAACAGGAAAATTGTTATGCAGGCACAACTGAGATACTTAAAAATTCATTACAACTTATCATTAAATGCATAATGCTTCTTTATTTTAAACAATAAAAAACAACGAAATAGAAATAAGCAAATTATTATTAGTAAGATAGTTTTATTAAAAATGTATTTGGACTGACGTATATTATCATCTGCGTTCAAAACATTACAATATCGCTCAAGAAAATTATATTTTTATGAGATGGGAGTTCATGAATAAAAAAACATTAATTCATAACGCAAACATTAATACATAACAGGCAGGATTTGATGAAAATGCTTGCAACAACTATTTGCAATAAAGAAATTGTCAATAAGTAAATTTGGCAGAACTAAATAATAACAAAACTGTACAGAGCCTTTTATAGTTGAACTTTTATACATAATAATAATAATAATGACAACAACAATAACAATAATGAAAGATCCTCGCGGAACATGTGAAACCAAAAATGTATAACATCAAGGAAGATGGTACGAGTCCTTATATGTTTTGAGAAACTGTTTTCAAACTGAAGTCTCTCATAAAAGCTACTTTCATAAGACCATACTAATATTAAAACTACTAGGTATCGAAAGTTAACTTTCAAATTAAATTAGAATTTGACAAACTAAAATTTTTAATAAAGTTCAAATTTCTCTCCACCTACAAATCTAACTTAATTACATTAATTATATTAATAATTTTCATTTCATTGAGACTATACAAAGTTTATAATACAACACTAAATTTACAGAATCTTTTATAACTTATATGATATGAAGAACTAAGTTTTATGAGTTATCGCAAATAATTAATTGCACCCAACATTAAAATGTGTCCACAAAATATGTTCTTATAGAAACATTATCAAAACAAGTTTGCAGATATGTCTTCACAATCTCCTGCCATGAGTTTTAAACCACAAATCTAGTAACATTTTCTCACAAACTTTCAATTTGTACTCTGCAAATATCACCAATTCTAATATTACCCATCTTACAAATTTCAATTGCATTTTTTTATTTCTCTTTGATTTTGAAGTACTTAAATTTGTTTGTACTTAGTTTTCTTCTCTGTGGTAAAAATAGTTTTAACTGACACTCCTCACCTACCTCAAAGCAGAAGCAAAAACAGAATTTTCAGTACATATTATTTTCAGAATGTTCTTTTTGCTACACATTTCTCTAAAATGAACTCTGTGACAAATTAAATGACGTTGCTCCTAAAGACTTCTGGTTACTACTTCATACATCAAGCTGTTCCCATTTCTATTTTTGTGGAATCAGCATATCACACTTGAAGATTACAACAGACAAACAGAAGGATTTCCAATTCCATAAAACCCTTACTTGCATCCATAATATTATTGCAGTGGTCATGTTATTTCCATAAAGAAGAAGCCTGTTTCCTTTAATGAAACGTGAAGGAATCTAGACGCAAGGTTTTGCATTTGTGCTTTTTAAACAAAAATAAATCCACATAACAACATTCATAAACCAGATATCTGAATTAATCATAATATTTTAAAATAATCTTTTAATAAAGTATTGAATTAGGTAGAAATACATTTCCATAATCATACATTGGAGTTTACATTTGAGTTCAAATTTCATTAGAAGACACATTGGAGAGTAGATTTCAGCATTTACAAATACATCATATAGGTATCAAGAGAAACAATGAACTGTCATTAGGCTCCAATAAACTGCATCCAATGAACAGTTCTTAATTTTCAATTAGAGAATGTCCGAGTAAGGAGGGTTATTGAAACATCCAGTTCATGGATTTTTTCTTTTTCTTTCCTTTCTTTATCAGAAATGACCTCAAAGTTTTCTGATATGCAATGCTAGTTACTAATTCCCTTTAAAAACAACAACAACAACAACCTACACATTGTTAAACACAGAAAAAATGAAGTAAAACAATTTAATTATAGTTACAATAATGAAAGATGTCCTTACCTTATGAGAAAGTGCACACAAACCACATTGTTGGGTTTTTGTCCTTTGCATCCATAAATGAGCGTAGCTTGAGTGACCACCCACACGTATCCACCATTCTTGGCTAGGAAACGGTAACGACCAGTTTGACCTTGCCCTTTGGAAAACACTACAAAAGGAAAAATAGTAATTATTTACAAATCAAATATTTCTTACATCAATTAAAAATAAAAAAGATCCTTTTAATAAAGACAAGTATATTGAGATCTTGTCAGCTAGTCAAATACAAATTATCAAATAATAAAACTTGGTTCATAAAGAATTTACAAAAAAAAGAAACTACTATTCATCAAGGGGGAAAACTTGTACTTTCAACAACACATAAATATTAAATTTTTATTTATTACTCACAGCTTTTGAAGCCCCTCTCCACTTCCATGTTGTCCATTGCGTGATGGTACTCGTACAGAGATTTGCCAACTAAATCATCTGGGTGATACCCAAGCAATTCACCCATGCTGAAAAGTATTGTTAATTAATTTTTTTATTAAAAAGAAAAACTATATAGGTGAACTAATGGTTTTCTTTAGAGAAAGTACAGAATGAAGTATGAGATAAGGAACAATTAATATATTCTACAACTTTCAAATGCTACATGAAATTTATCCTTCCAAAGCAGCAATAATGATATGACAAATATTGTGGATGATGAGTCAAATGTGTGTTGTCCCTCTCCAAAGAGTAAAATGAGGGAACATTCAATAATGCAAACAATAAAGAACAAACAAAAATGATAGTGTTGATAAACAAAATTTAACTTTTAATTTGAAATCCTTTGTACATTTCTTATGAGACTAGTTCCGGTGAGGTTTTAAAATTCCCATTAAAATGTACTTTTTCTTGTACTGTTTTCCACAAAGTAATCATACAAAATACCAATTGAAAAGAAGAGAATGAACTTGTACAAAATAAAAAATAAAAATAGACTTTATGCTCATCAACTGAATACTATCTGATGCTATGCTATGAGATGAATCTAGAAATGATATCTGAAAATTGATAATGAATGGTCACAATGTTTGCCAACTAAGCCATCAACATGTGCTTACATATGTCAGCTATCTCAAAGTGTATGTTGTTAAAAATAAATTATCATCTTTGGCAGCCATACTTCCAAAATCCTTTTAATGGGGCATACTATTTTAATTACTACAGCAGCTAATAAACGCTTTTAGAAAAGGCACACTTCATTACCATTACAATTTGCACAAATTTATTCTGTGTGAATACACCACACTCAAAGAACTTTCTGTTGCACAAAATTGAAGTTGTTAAGTTCTATTTTTTCCCTTTTCAGTTCATTAGAGCAACAAATGCACAAAAGTATCAACAAAAGAAACAAAAAAGTGACATAATACCAAGATTACAAAGGCAAACATTATAATTTTAGCTAGTTAGGTTTGGTTTCATACAGGAGAAAAGGCAAAATCTGGAACTACGTATAAAAACATGTTCTATTTAAAAACAACTATTGTGCATTAAACTAAATACAGAGTTGTTTTCTTAAGTTAGAAATGGTAGAAGGTTATTCTCTTCATGAGCAAATCCTATGATGCAACTAAGAAAGAATCTTCTCAATGAGCAATTTCCATTTCGGTATTTAGTTTAAATTTTCATTGTGCAAAAGGATGTAAATTACATGCATAAATTAAAGCCTCAAATTTAGTAAAATTTGTTTCATAACGTTTTTTTCCAACGTGTTAATAATGTCCAAGTCTTTCTTCTTTGCACAGAAATTGCAGCTTCATGGTTTCTCTCTATTCCTAATACATATGAACTGGTAAATGATTCTCAGCATTTCTATAACAGATTTTTAATTAATAGCTAAACTTTTTATTGAATTTTATTACAATTCACGCTTAATTTAGAAATCTCAACCTTTCAAAATGTACACAATTCAAAGAACTCTGTTCTTTGATTCAGTTTCAAAATAGCTAAGCACAATTGTGTAAACTAAGCACAGAGCTATGAAATATGTTGAAATAGAAAGCTGCTATCCATTCAGGGCTTCATATGTTCTTAAATTTTTGTCCAACATATTTCTTTTATCAAAATCAAGTCTAAAGAAATTATTTTCCAATATACCTTTCCCTATACACTTAATTCTTACAAAATATTCAAAAATGTTCTTAGAACAAATAAAGCAAACAAGGATGTTCACAAAATACAACAATAATTTAAATGATTGTGGTACATTCACCAAAATAAATATCTTCATTTCTCGAGTTTCTTGTCGTGGTTTCCAGAAAATGCTTTCACAGTTTTCACTTAAGAGAACTAGAAAGGAACTATTCACAAGTTGTCACCTCAATTCAGAGAGAGTTGTATCAGTCAATAAAGAACGTCATTAAAGAAAATTGTGTTGTAGGGTTTACAAAATCTCACTATATAATTTTCAGAACCAATGTACAGGTTTATTTCCGTTTATCTGTTGTGAAAAGAATCATTTTTTAAACAAGTTTTATTTACAGTTAAGAAATAGTCTCAAGATGTACAAATTATTACATATCTTGTCCTAGATTCTGCTAGCATATATTCATTGCAACATTCGCCTCTTAATGACTCCTCAGAGTTAATGGCACTACTTACATTTCATCAGCATATGTGAATTTCATGTCAAGACTGTGCTTGCTGAGGAAAGTCTGCTTATCAAGAGGTATCTCAATATTAGCAGGATGGGGGATGGGTTCTCCTATTGCAACAAGGCACTGCTGCTGGCTCTGACTGCAGTTCTCTGCAGCGCCACATTCAGATTTAATTTCTTTCTTGCATGAGGCACCAGTTAGAAGGTGACCAGTACAATGAATTACCTGCAGAAAAAATTATGCACTAACATGAAGGGAATAAGTGAAAAATATAAATTATGGATGGACGTAGATAGAGATGGATAAGTACTATTACAGCCAATACATGATGAATATAGTAAAATTTAACAGAAATAAAGCAAAAAAGAAATAAATAAAATAAAAAAAATGCTAAATTTCCAGCAAAGGTTAACTATCATGCACATTTTTTCCCTTACCTGGGAATACCTTTAAAATTTACAAAACAGTTCAAATCTAGTAAGTAAATAATTGTTTTGTTTACCTTGTATGTAGCTGATTTTATATTAACATTCCTTCCCTTGCTGGTAAGAGTGCATTTCAGCCTGATAAAAAATGAACGTGGAATTTTAGGAAGTACAGGTGACTTCACAGTTAAAATTTCCTTAATTTCTTCATGGTCACAAGGATGACTAAAGTCATAGATGCTGTGGCCCATAAGGTCAATCTATAATCCGGCAATAAAGAAAATTAGATCATATGATAATAATAATGATAGGTTATTCTCTTTTTTAAGGAAGTCTTAATGATTGGTGGGGGTGGGAGTGTCTTTGCTACTACAGTAAGAGGTAACACAAATGGAGTAACATTGTCTCTCTTTACTGTCATCTAAAACTGTTAATTAATACTGGAATGATAATGAAACTAAAAATTAATACTGGAAATTATATTATCAACACAAATTACCTGAGGAATTCCCAAATATTCATGAATGTTTTCAGAAATGAAAACCATATCTCCATCTGCTGATACAACAAGAAGAAAACCCTCTAGAGCTTGGAGATACAGAGGATCACACGTGTTGAATTCCTTCTTTGTTTTAATTTCCTTGACATCTGTTGTTGCACCAGGTATGGGTACTACAAACAAACAAATATAATCAATGTAATCATTAACTTAATTAATTCGGGAATAACACACATCCTGGTTTATATTATATCTGTCCTATCCTTTAGTCACTGAACACCAAGTAATGAAGGAGTAAGAAGCCCAAGTGGAAATAAATTGGCCAGTGAAAGAAGTACACTACTTCACATACAGTGAAGGAAATTACACATTCCTCATAACCATTAACAAGCACAAGTGGAAGGGGGATGATCCCATCCGCTAAATAATTTGAAAGGGACCCTGTCACCTCATAATGAAACATTTTTTCCCCCCAAGAATGTGTTAAATCCCTGATAAAACGTTACACTGAATGCATGGACACATTTCAAAATTTGCAATGATGACATACAGACATACTAGTCTATTCATAGTTACTATATATTTAAGCTAGTACATATACGTTATTGACTAATAAAGCTTTTTTGACTAGCGACACAAAAGTGTCTTGAGCGAACACAGGATACTTATTTCAGACTACGAGAAAGATTATAAAAATGAAAATCTTTGAAGATCATTCCAGAAAATCTAGAGAAACCTGTGATAGAATAAAAACTAGTTTTTTCAATTATATTAAAGAAAAAAGTGTTAAGAGAAAATCTATTATTATATAAAAAACAAAAAAACCCAGTATTTTTATATTCTATATTTATAGATATGATTCCATCTTTGTATGAACATACAAAGAAAGTAAAAGGACTTTTTTATCAATATCAAATTAATTATAATTTTGATTGACAGAAAGTTAATTTTAATGCTATCAATTTTTAATTATTTACTCATTTTATGAGCTTGAGGCAGTAAGAAGATGAGACACACTTCCACCAAAATAAAGAAATTCATATTTACGAATAGTCAAAGACTTCTTACAACTGATGTGGCCTACATTGTTCCTGCCCTATGTCCTTCATTTTATAAATTTAAATGTGCAGTGCATTTCATTCATAATAGTAATTATTTAAAGCCACGTTGATAAATAATAATAATAATAATAATAATAATAATAATAATAATAATAATAATAATAATAATCATCATCATAATACGCAATTCCTATTAATCTTTCCTCTAAGTTTTCTTCAATGGGTAGACAGTGTCTACCTTGTATGCTGTTCGTCACTACGCGAGGGCGTGCCGCGCGATTGTTTGCCAGGCAGGCGCGAGGGCGGGCGGCAAAGCCTTGGGCCAGCACACCAAAGAGTCCGGCGTACTGGGCGCAGCCGGCTGGGCTCCCCCCCACTCCCCCAGATGCCGTGGGCTGTTGTTAGCGCCGCCAGGAACACTCACTTAGCGGCCGAATCTCTGCCACCGTCTGCCGCCCCGCCTCGTCCGGTCCGCCCTCCTTCGGCAACGCGGTTTTACAGTTTCGTCGTCCGAAGGTGTACGAGATACAATTTTGCCAATCGCTTTTCAGGGACAGGCTTTCCGAAATTATTTAAAAAAAACACTATCGTAATTTGTTGTGTTCTGCGGTATCTTACAGCCGAAGACGTTGACTGCCTTAGATCGGGCTATCTGATTTCAGCTACGAAGCGTACCTGTCTTTGGTCTCTAATCGACATTACTCCATCATATTTTATGAGAAAAGGAAGACACTGCTTACTCTACTCCTGTAATTATGGTAATCTTGACACATCATTTTTAGGTGATGAAATTGTACATTTATTTATGAAGCTATCGTAAAAAAATAAATAAAAATATGACTGATGTACTATCTGGAGACGTGTATTCTGTGCACATTATAAAACTTTCTTCTCTTCAGCCTCATTTGGACATTCGTTTTTTACTAAAATTGCTGGTGATGTTGACATCTTGTAAATGTAGATATCACTATTTTCATTACTGCTACTATTAGATTATTACTGTTCATCACTACCATAATATAATTAATGATTACTGTTAATTATAACCATATAATTAAAGTTATTACTACCATCTACCGACACCTTTTTTTGTTTGTGAATGACACACGTTTCTTTCACAGCACTAGTGGAATTGTTTTAAGAGGAACAACAATTTTTCAATGTTTAGAGTACAAAAGTTATCTGAAAAAATATTTCTGCACATTTCTGTCCTTTCTATTTTTGAAAGTTGCCTCCTTTAAATTTTCCCTTCTCCCTGACCCTTCGCTGGTGCAAATATAACCTGCTTACTCCTGATGTTTTAGACGAGTTTGTGTAATAACGTAAAATATATTATTAGTATTACTTTATCGCCATTCTCGCTTATTTCCAAAATGCAAGATTAGCAAACATTTATACTTCTAATAGTTTTAAAGCGAAGTGCAGAAACGAAATAAACATTACAATGGGCCAACGTAGAAAAAATTAGAAAAGCAATGCAAAATATTGCCCAACTACTTATCAACTATGTTGAATTAATACACATACTATAGACATCTTCGAATTATTCATGTACATTTGCAGACATGAAGATACAAGCTTTTAATGAACCATATCGGACTACTTAGCCTTTGATCTCTAATAGAGATTATCATGCAGTTCTGTTATTCTGATTATCATGTTGTGTCATCATTAAGTTATGAAATTGTTAGTATAATAGTTTTTCTTTTCTTCAACCTCATTTGCCGAGGCACAGTCTTATCACTAACGGCCGAACAAACATGCTACAATAGTATGGATCATACATCTCGGTCAAGTGTCAGATCAAAATAAGATCTTCCCTACTCTTCTGGCCTTCGACTCGTATTTGAATGTCCTTCTGTACTTCGACCTCCTAACTTGAGTTGAAATATTGACACTTCGAATAGAATCCTGAAGGGCAACCTCACGTAAAGATGCAGAAATCCGGCGCCCCCTCCCCAAGTGATGAGGCAAAAAAGTCTACCTTTTCATCCCGTCTTCATCACTATTTCTATATTATTTTTCTCTTTAGGGCTTTCCCAGTTTCTGATGTAATTTTATATTCTCAGAACTGGCTACCATAATATTTTCAAACAAATAGAGCCTCATTTCATTGGGGGACAGAATTGAATATTTATGTACGAAATTGATGCTCTAACTCGCAATAACTGTAATTTTCCCTTAATATGCTTCCTAAAATCTAGTACCGCTGAAAAAAAAAGGACGCATTACAACAGGTCTTTGGTAAAGGCCGAATACGTGTGAATTTACATTTGCCACACCGCAAGTGGTTGAAATTCGCTGTCGCGTGTGACAGCCCTAAAAACAAAGGCATGATCCAATGGCGCTACACTTGGAAATTAAAATTTCTGGTGAGGTAAATATGTCTGAGAATCATACAGAGAAACACAAATGGATAACTCCACAGAGCATGCCCAACTAGGGATGGAACATCGATGTTTTCTAATTATCCATGCCTTTATAAAATCATCGATGTATTTAACATTTACGCCGATATTTTTTAACATCGATATTTTATTAATAAAGTAAGTCCACTGTAACACAATCCTATTATAATTTTCAGATTTCAATAAATTGATTATTCTCCAAACCCATGCGACTAGAGCGTGTGTCGACTCAGCGCCTCAGCCGGAAGGGTCACGGGTTCGAGTAACGCCGTGGGCATGATAGTGCGTCCCTTATCTTTCAAGTATGTGTGTTTTCGCGGAAGGCCTTGCGAGTCTGCCGACCCCAGAGCGAGGAGTCCGCAAGTGAGGCAGTGTCTCGTATAAAGGTTAATGTGTGTCTCCCGTGAGGAACATGTAGCGGGTACTCGGTGCGGATAGCCGAAATCGGCATCCTCTGAAACTGGAAAAAGATGTTTTAACTTCGAGCATCGATATTTAGAATATTGATGTTTTGTTGGCGATGTCGCAGCCACAGCTACAAGGAGTGGGGGGGGGGGGGGATTTGGTTCCAGACCTTTTTTTTTTTTTTTTATTCAAAAGAAATAAAATAAAATACTCATCTCTAATCCAAATTTAATGCTCCAAGTTATATCTGGCGCACCGAGAAATAAATTCTGTTAATGAATTAGGCCCCGGTCACAACCCTTTACCCAACGCAACAAGAAACGTCGACAAGGAAGGTCAACTTCTCGCACAGCCCAGGCGAATGAGATTTTTCGCATGGAAAAATAGCAATTGAAATTTCGTACAGACTTTCGTTCTAACACTGCAATAGAAGGGGTCATATCCCTTGTTCTTTCATATCCCTCCCGCCGTGTTCTATACAGAACCAGGCAAGATACGAAAGGTCGAAGATCAAACAAAATAGCTTTCGTGAATGCATCGCGGAATTGAGACGAATGTTGTAAACTTGCAGAGCATACAATTGTCTTCAAAAGAGATCCATTCTTTTTCGTATGACCACCTATTTTCCGATACTGCGTGGAGAAAGGAGCGCCCACTTATTAAATTAATTAACTCTGACCAAACTGCAATAATGGCATTTAATTTACTACATAATGTATGTATATAAATACATTATTGGCAAATTTTCCATTTATAAAATTATTGTAAGTTAAAACAGAAATAATAACGCTAAAAAATTTAAAAAAGTTTAAACGAAAGTTATATAAATTTTCGAGACATTTAATTATAGTAGAAATAGGATTTACATGCAAATACATGTTTTTATTTAAGACTCGAGAGCTTCCAACCTTCGTAAATATATCTTTCTTGGCAAACTAGTTTGCATGCTTTTTCTGTGCACGTATGCGTATTCTTTATTATTTTTTATTTAATGTTTTTATAGGAATTCATGCATGTTTGAACATTTTACTGCATATTTAGATATATAGCTTACTAGATCCTTATTTTTATCGTTTCTTTATATAATTTGTGAAAATTGAAATTGACGAATAATTTGCATTAATGCCATATTATTTGTACACTTGCTAGGATTTACGAAGTGAATACAAGCGCTGCAAGGAAGAATTGCGAAATGAATCAACACCAAGCTATTAAGTCACAAAGGTTAATAAAGATACAGAAATCCGTCGATGTAAGTATCACTTGAGAACTGACTATGGGGGAGGAAAATAATCAAGAAAAGACTCTCGGACCGCTTGCGTTAAAAAAAGTTAAAGACCGGGTATGTAAATATATATAATTAATCAAATTTTGTCAAATTACTTTCAGCAATTTAAAAATTGGAAACATCACCTTTAGTGGAGAATGTAAAAACCGTTGAAGAGATTTTAATGCCTGCGGAAGGAGTTTTTGGAGGAGTGAGTGTGATTGTGAAGGAGAAGTTATATAAAGCTTTAAATTCAAATTCTGATTTGAAATTTCTTCAAATTGTAAAAGGGTTAAAAAACAGATAACGCAGATATCGCCCTCACATTAGCTCAAATTAAATCTTTGAAGAATATTCCAATTACGATGTTGTGATGTAGAATGCATATTTTGCATTCAAAAACATTAGTTTCTGACAACAAAGATGGATTTGACAGAGTAAAATTTGGGGGAAAAATGTTCGCTGCTACAAATGACAATTTTTGTCAATTTTTACCGTGCATCGGTACGCTTGCTTTAATATTTTAGCATTTGGTAGTGCATGGAAATCCTGTCTCTACAGGCGATACTGGTTCATCACTCTATTTAGAACGAATGTCTGTGGACTTCCGTGATGAAATTCCAAGGGTTTTTAATGTCGAGGGTCATGGATCTGCCAAGACGGTTTGCCCGAAATTGCAGCTCAACTGGACTTCGCCTAACTATATATACCATTCGATATACTTGGCCATTCGCGGAGAAACGGCCCCGCATGCAAGGGGCGACTCGCACTCGTACCTATGCCCAACAAACTGCGAATCTTGAGGTAGGAGATGGCGAGGCGCATGATGGACGCCTTGTCCAGCTGCGTGATGGTGCTCTCGGACAGCGGCAGGGCGCGCGCCAGGTCGCTGAAGATCTCCGTCTCGCGGCTGCGGCGGCAACGGGCGGCGTCTCGAGACTTCTCCTTCCGCTTCTCCGAATTCCTGCGCACACAGCAAAAGGCGGTGGAATCAAGGAAAGTACATTACAGACACTGCTCAACAACAACAAAAAACTGTAATTAATTAAGGCTTCAATAACTCTTGTTGACCTCCTTATCCACACATTGTCGGCGTGCAAAGCAAGTGACACGTCCCCAAAACAGTTGTTTTGTGGTAGAACGGTTTTTCAACCTGAGCGGAGCTGTTTATTTCATTAAATGTTTTTTTCTCTTTATGCAGGCTGACTTTTGAACTATGTGAAAATTTCACAAGTAAATTTGGACTATTTTCGTAACATTTCGTAACTGAACTACAATACGACGATTTTTGTGATGAGTCACTTTTCTCGTGCACCAACGATGTGTACTTCACGGTACTAGAAGTCAATATCATGAAATAAAGTAACATGACTTAATACTTTAGTAAATAATGGCAAGTGGGCTTGGTCAAAGAAGCAGCTACGGAAACACAATTAAAAAATACGGCACATAGATCGAATATAACATTACAACCATTTCATTCTTGACAATTCGACGCTCATCCAGACTTCTAATGTGGATAGTATATCTCGTCGGTGCACAAGTGACATTTCAAAATTACAACCATAATTCTTTTACACCCTTCCCTCTAGACCTCTCACTAACAGGTTTTCTCCTTAGGGTACCTTCATTTGAATATCTGATAACGATTGTGGCGATCAACCTTTAGACATAGTTCTTATTTGGGTTTATTCTTTGGTTCTTTTATTTGACTATGCATTTTATCATATGATTTTCTTAATATTTCTGTTATTCAACTTTTAATTTCTAATCCTAACTTTTAAATCTTACGCTTCCTTTCACAATTTTACTTCAAATTTTACGAGTAAAATAACTGTTTTAATTGTTATATCCACACGATTTCAGACTACCAGAGGACGCGGACATTGGAGTCGCGAAACGTTTTTTATGAATTTGATTATAATAAAATAACTGTTTTAAACAAATCAGAATTTTGTATGACTTTACATAATTTGAGGATACCACTGATCTACGACGCATGTCAAAAATAATTATTTTGCATGAAGATGATTTTTATCCCAGCTGGGTCGACACTTTTCAGGTAAAGAAAAATGAAAGAAAGATCAGTCTACATCTGGGCTTTGTTTTGTGGACCTCCTATATGAAACTTTAACTATTAAAAGTATACTATTTTCTAAAATATTTCTTAACTTCACACAAAAGTGACGCATTTTGAGACATATCACTTCTTTTGAGCATCGTCGAAATGTTTTCAAATAAATTATTTCAAATAAGTTTCTCTTCTTGTGTTCGTCGGTGATTCATGCACTTCCCCGAGACCCATGCACGCTAGACATTACGGCCACTATTCACCCACGCTAAAGTCTGGTTTCCAGGGAGGCACGGGGAACAACTCGCATCTAAAAGGTGACCACTGCTGTCGCCATTCAGTTCGCAGATTCCAATTCTTCATCTTCCCTGGGCACTCACTGAGCTTCAATAACATCTGGAGATGTTATTGAAGGGCTTGATGATGGATTGTTGAAAATCGTTAACATTCGCAAAATTTAAATAAAGTAATTTTGAATTAATTTAAGCCTTCAAGACCAGCAAAAGAGGGTGATGCGGCGAGCAGAATTCCCATTAAAAACAAAAATGCCTCCCATTAGCATATTAAAATATTATACATTATATAGAGAAACAAATTCTGTTTCTACGATTCTTCCTTTTTATTTGTTCTACGTTCTCCCACAAACGGCACTGCAGCTTCAAAAGTTTTTGACAATTAAATAGCTGATTTTATAACAATTCTGAGTTTCAGAGTGCGATGAATACAGCAGTTTTTTTTATTGCAACTCTTCCCCTGGTTTATGTTAAATATTTCCTACTTTTTCAGTCCTTTTTAAATTTTCTGACTTGTCCTCGGTCCTTGCCATCTAGGGGCACCGACCTGCAAAGCGATTCAAGGTTTCCAATTCGACATGGATTTTTACGGCGATGAGCGTTACTGGGGCGTCAAAACTTGTTTCTTGACTTTTAGACTGCAATGAACCAGTTAACCTCAATAACCAGCTCACTCTTTCTAACGATTTTTTTAAAAGTAAATGTGTGGCACAGTATTATTGAGACATGCCAACGAGACCTCAGGTTATGTCAATCCCCACATCTGAGGGCCTTGCTCGTGAGCATCTATGGCCAGCGAACCATCCAAGATCATCACTGCTTCTATACAACAAGAGACTATGCTCGACACCAAAACGAAAAATAATATTTATTTTAACAATGACACATAATTCATTAGTTCATATTTGTATTGTATAATTTTTAAAATAATATGCCTGTATCAAGTAATGAGTTTCTGTGTCGATTGCCCGCAGCATCATCATGCAAATGTTCAGATGGCTCCTTGTTTTGCTTCTGGGCATAAATGTAGCTTCACTATACACATCTTTTTTAGCTACCCTATTGCTAGTTCTAGTAGAGTAGAGCACGGAGTATGGCTGACTTTTATTAGCAATACTAAAGAATCAAATTTGTAGTTCCGTTACCGATGCAAATGTTCGTTAACTAGAAAGCGAAAATATCTACTTTTCAAATGTTAAACGGGCTTTTCGTTGGGAGATGGTTCATTTCGAATGTCTGAAATATAGATGAACCACTACTGAGAAGGTAAAACTAAGTAGCCTATCTCGCATTTTGATATTCCTCATTTATTTTTCATTCTTTCTATCTCAAGAGGATTGAGTGATCAGCAATCATCTAACGTTGATTGTTTAAATTGCTGGAGTATATACGAGTACTATGACTGCCTTCCACTGGGTGCAAAGAAGACTAGTGCAAAGGTAGAGGTCTGCTCAGATTATACAGCTTTCCAACTTCCTTTGTCACGCTTACCACTAGATCACCTCTGTAGGACACAAATCGGCCAGAACTCTGCACTTGTCGAAGAATTTTGATTTTGGGCATGTTTCCACAGGGGAAAAAAAACATATCCAGGAAGTTGCAAGTTGGTACGGAATTCCCCTGACACATGCAGGAGCTTCGCCGTCGAGAGACGTCTCGCGCGAACTGCTGTGGGTGCGTACTTAGTTTCCTCATCCGCGTACCGAGGCACTGCGCCCAAGGTCGCCCCGCCCCCGTGTTTTGACCGCGTCAGCGGTGGTGGCGAGGCCGTTGCCCCAGACGGCGACGTCCGGGGGCGGGGGCGGCGGCGGTCGCGAGGGTGGCATCGATTGCTTGGCCACGGCGGCGCGGGCGGGGCGGGGCGGGACGGACGGCGCGGCGCCCGCGTGGGGCGCGGGCGTTGGGCGGGCGCTGGGAGGGCGGGGCGGCTGGGGGGCGGGCGGCGCAGGGCGCGCGTGGCGGCGGCGCGGGGCGCGTTCGAGGCGGGGCGCGCGGTGCGGGCGGGCCGAGACGGTCACGTCCACACAGCCGAAGGAGTGCTTACCCGGACCTCCTGACCCGCCCACTGCGGTCCACCCCAGCGCCGGCAGCGGCGCGTTCATAATCCGAACCGCCCTTCGCCCATAAACAAGCGGCAAGCGGCGCGGTTCGGCGCGGTACGGCACGGCGCGGCGCCGAAATCAATCGCAGCCTTGTTGGGGGGATTCCCCGGTGGCCGCCGCTAATGCGCTGCTCGCCGCCGCCCCCTCCCCGCACCAAAACCTTTTTGCCGCGCACCACCTTCGGAAACGGGGACTGCGACTACAGGCCATTCCGACCCGTCCAGTAGGGTACGCAGTGAAATTATGTTCCGTCGTCATTTACTACACATTTGACCGCTCACAAAATGATCATGGCACGATTGAATCGATCGCGTTTTTGCGAGGTTTCACACATTTCAAATTTCTGAATTGGCATATCCATCGCCAACAAGTTTACTCTAGTTACAGAAATCGATTTTCAGACTATAACAATAACTTTTTTAAACCTTTTATGCTCGAGGTGTTTGCGACAAACATACACATCAAAACAAATCCTCCGTAGTAGATATAAATGACACTTGAAGGGACAAAGTTTTAATAACATAACTCGTTAATATCAACGCATTTTCTTGACTCCGAAATTACCGATAATGTCGGTAAGTTTTAGATAAACGAACTTATTCATTTCCTATGCATTTCTACACATCGAAATTGCAGATCCTCCCGAGAATATTTAAAAATATATTTAATTTTCATTCCGTATATACATTTAACTGATTTGTTTGATTAGTATCATTTTCCGCCAGGTTTCCAATTTTTTTACGTTTGCAGCAATTTATCACATTTGTAGCATGAAATAATCAGAATTTGAAATGTGAAGCAAAAGCAGTCAGAGCCAAGAGGGTAGCAAAGCCTGTTTAGCTAGAAGCAGATTCATTGTGAAAACATTTCCATTCGGTAGCGGAAAATCAGCGTAAGCGGCAATCTTCAACACACCCCAGGGCGAGCCAGGAGCTGCGCCGGCCGCGTAGGCTAAAGCTAGGTGACTGATGGAGATCGCAAATAACCCTTCGGAAGTAGCCTGAAGCCTGCCAATGGAATGGGATTCCACAAGGCATTTGGAAGCCTTGCGAGACCTAATCTGACCACATCACAAGATTTTAAAAAATACCTTCCAACCGCCGTCCACTCGAACACCGATCTTCACAATTTATTAAAGGATATGTCCTTACAGTCATTTTCATTTCATCGGAATCTGACAATATGGCTAATGGTTATTGAACAAGATGCACTTCATGCATGCCTCCTAGAAACTAAGATCACATTGGCCGCTTGGGTTACGTATTTGTACGGTACATTCATGACACGTATAGTAAGGAAGCAAAGAAAAGGAAGATTCAGAGTAAAATTAAAAACAACGCGATGTTGGAAGAATCGCGAAGGAGGAACAACGGGAAAGGGAAAGGGAGAGAGAGAGAGAGAGAGAGAGAGAGAGAGAGAGAGAGAGAGAGAGAGAGAGAGAGAAAAAGAGGGAGGAAAAAAAGAGAGAAAAAGAGAAAGAAGAGAGAGAAAAAGAAAA